AAAAAAATGGGGAAAAAACACAAAAAAATGGGGAATGGAATTCCAAAAATGGGGAAAACCCCAAAAACTGGGGGATTTCTGAGGGTTTTGGGGTATTTAATGGGATTTTGGGGTATCCATGAGAGTTTGGGGGATTTCTGAGGGATTTCGGGGAATTTTGGGGTATTTGGGGTGGGGTTTTGGGCGATATCAGGGAATTTTGGAGTATCTGGGGTGGGTTTTGAGGTATTTCTGTGGGATTTCAGGGTATTTTGGGGTATTGGGGTGGTTTTTGGGGTGCCCTGACCGCCCCTGTCCCCAGGTACGTGGGGGAGCTGATCTCAGATGCCGAGGCTGACGTGAGGGAGGACGATTCATACCTGTTCGACCTGGATAACAAGGTGTGTTTGGGGGAGAGGCCCGGGGATTTTGGGGTGACCCCAAATCTTTAGGGAGTGACCCCAAAATTCCGGGCATCAGGTCTACCCCCATTCAATCAACACGGACATCAGATCTACCCCCATTCAATCAATACAGACACCAGGTCTACCCCAGTTCAGACAATACAGACACCAGGTCTACCCCAGTTCGAGCCATACAGACATCAGGTCTACCTCCATGAAACCGATACAGACATCAGGTCTAGCAAAAATGAACCTGGACAGCAGCTGTACCCAAGTCTTTTATTATTTTGGACATCAGGTCTACCCCTTTGCCGTAATAATTGTGTCCATTTGGTCTACCCTTTATTCAGCCCATCAGTTCGAACATCAGGTCTACCCCTATTCAAGCCAATGAGTTCGGACATCAGGTCTACCCATATTCAACCCAATGGCTTCAGACACCAGGTCTACCCCTGACACGAACAATTCCAGACACCAGGTCTACCCGCATTCACGCCAATGGGTTCGGACACCAGGTCTACCCCCCCCCATTCACTCCAATGAGCTCAGACACCAGGTCTACCCCCATTCACGCCAATGGGTTCGGATACCAGGTCTACCCCATTCACGCCAATAAGTGCGAGCATCAGGTCTACCCCCATTCATCCCAATGAGTTCAGACACCAGGTCTACCCCCATTCATTCCAATGAGTTCAGACACCAGGTCTACCTCAGTTCAGTCCAATGAGTTCGGACACCAGGTCTACCCCCGTTCACCCAATGAATTCGAACACCAGGTCTACCCCTATTCAGCCCAACGATTCCAGACACCAGGTCTACCCCCATTCACTCCAATGAGTTCGGCCATCAGGTCTACCCCAATCCCCGACGATTCCAGACACCAAGTCTACCCCCATTCACTCCAATGAGTTCGGACACCAGGTCTACCCCAATCCCCGGCGATTCCAGACACCAGGTCTACCCCCATTCACCACAATGAGTTCGGACACCAGGTCTACCCCAATCCCCAGCGATTCCAGACACCAGGTCTACCCC